CCCAAGCATGGATTCCCTGGGGAGGGCAGGCGACCAGGCTTCAGCAGCCACAGGCCCAGGCAAGTGCCCACACGGGACTGGAAATGGTGGGAGGGCAGAGCTGCAGCAGGCCCTGCCATGCCAGCCCTCCTTGGCTGGCCACCCAAGAGAAAGTGCAACAAATGGCAGACGTCCCAGTGAGTGGACAGAGTAAGCACAGTGAATGGCAGGCTGTAAGGCTAAGGCACAGATGGGACCAGCATGGCTGCCACCAACCTTTTCTTGGAGGGTGGGGGGCGGGGATGAAGAAATAAAGTGGCACCCTTCTGCAGAGCACATGCAGGGGATGGAAATGCAAACACGAGCCCCAGCTCCACCCGGCCAACACCAAGTCCCCTTAGTCTAGCCGCAGGACCCTGGCCTCTGCCAACATGCGACTCTCAACGTGCCGCCCCTGCCCTGGGCTCTCTTTCAGCCACATCGGAGATACTGATAAGGCTGAAGACCCCCCACAGAGGAATGCTGGGTTTCTGAATTGTCACTGTCCCTGGGGCCCTTGCCAAAGAGAAGAGGAGGCCCAGCACAGCTCCCCAGGTCACTTCTCTGCACCTGCCAGGTGCCCCAATTAACTCAGCCCATGCAGAGGTTGCTGGGAGATACCTAGGCAGCTGCCCCCACCCCAGCAGCAGAAGGGAATGAATCCCACACCATCTTCTGGAAGGGGCTTCGGGGACTCGGCATTGAAGAAATATCCTACACTTTCTCGTTGCTTGCCGGAGTACAGGGCACTGCCCCCAGTGAGGAGGCTGGAGCAGCCAGGTCTCCTCCAACCAGCCAGATCTGTTCCAGCCCTGATGTGCTCAGAGAGCTCAGAGAGCGGGGGTACCCCACACCAGGGCCCCCGAAGCTCTGACATGGGCACGCGGCAGCCTCTGACTTTCTATTACCTGAGAGTTCATCTGAGTTATGTAACTGCCACTCCCCACTCGGCAGCCTTATGACTCACCGACTCCTGTGAATTCCTGGAAGGGGGTCTTAGAGAAAGAATGTCGGTGGGCCCCATGGCCTGTCTGTTCCAGCTCCAGTGAGCCCGGCTCCTACTCCCCCTCGAGTCTGACTGGCATCGGGCAAGAGGAACCCTCTCGAGCCAGACTTCAAACATGAAAATCTAGATCAAGGATATATTTGGCTTTCCAAGCTAATCTTTACATCCAATTTGGTCTCTACTGACTTGTAGCCCTTTGAAGAAAACTTGGCAACCACGCATATGGAAAGCAGATGACTCTTACGTAACCCCAGACAGGAGCCCCTGGGCTCTGGAAGGCTAGGCAGTCACGGGTGGGTCGGGGTTTGCTGTTTACCCACTTCATCGTGACCTAGGGGGCAGCTTTTATCCACACGGCTGGGCAGCAGAGTTTTCCCACTAGAGGCCCAGGGAAATAAAGGCGTCAGCGAGCACACCCAGCCCGTTCATGCCAGATATCTTGATAGTGCCCGGGGCCAGTGGGCTGGGGGGTGCCGAGGCCGGGCGGGGCTGCCACCACTCCCACTGACACCTGAACGACCCCAGCTAAGAGGATGCAGGATGCGGTGGGGACGTGGGCTCTTCCCCCTCTGGAAGTGCAGAGACAGACATCTCAGGGAGGCATGGAGCTGTCTCCGCTCGGAGCTGGCTTGCCCTGCTCCCTACTTATCACCCTCTTGGACGCACAGAAGGAAAGGAAGCAGGTGATTACAATAAATCAGCAGAAGGGGACTAGGAGGAGCCTGCCGGCCCCTCCTCCTCTGTGTGGATGCTGGATCCCCAGGGTGGGCGTGGCATGAGGGGAGGGGGACGCACCCCAGTGGTGGAAAGGTTTGAGCTGCCTCTCAGAATGGCCATTTATTTCAGCATCACTCTCCCTGATGAGCATCCCAGCCGCTGACACTCGGTGGATTCCGGCTGCAATCAATTTGGTAGCAGCAGCTGGAAATGGGCACGAGCCAGGATTCACCAGGAGGGCCATGTCTGTGGACAGAGCATCTGACTCCGTCCGTCCTCTTAAAGCCTCAGCACAGCCCCAACTCCTGGACTTTAGACGCGGGGAGGGTGACAGGCCACCCGCTGGGTCCATATGGTGAGGCCCAAGCATGGTACCGCGTGCACGGCCAGAGCTCGGGGGACTTGCAAAGCACCCCACAAGAAGAGAGAGCCACAGCACTCAGTTACACACCCACCCCCACGCAGACACGCACACCCAGGGCCCTGGGGCGGGAGAACCTGCAGAGCAGCCCCGAGGAGCACGGCCCGGGAAGAAGCCGTGACGGTGGCTGGCCGAGGCCCGCGCGCGAGGACACCTAGCAAATGCCTCGCAAGCTCCCAGCCCCTGACAAAGCTGCGGCGCTGTGGGCTGCAGCCCCAGAGGCCACTCACCACGACGACAAGGCAGCCAAACTCATTGCTGCGTGCTGAGTAAGCACCCCTCCACGCTGGGCTCGGTGCTCATTTATGTCTGAGCTCCAGAGCAGCTGGTCAAGCTCCTGGCTGCCTTCAAGAGATACCTTTATCTGTGCTCCGTGCTTTGATACAACTACCGCCAAAAAGGCACGAAAACAGCTCAATAAGACTCAATCTGTTTCTGCCTCGTGAGAAGAAAAGGCTCCATGCACAGCTCCGGTCAAACGCAGAAGCAGAAAAACCAAGCCCAGACTTCATCTCAGGAGCCTGAGCACAGAGCTTCGGACTCAGGTGATGCCCAGGCTGCCCCCTCTCACCTGGGCTCCGGGTCAAGGAACTGCCTGACGCAACCAGGTTGGAAGCCTGGCAGCAAGATGCCCAGTGCTCACCTGGAGGGCCAGGTGAGCTTGTAAGCAAAGGTGACAGGTTTTCATCGAGGAAGAAGTGCATTTCCAGGTCTCGAGTAAGCAGTCCCGGCTTTGTTACTGTTATTACTACCCTTGCCTGGTGTGATGGGGAAACAACACTGACCCTCCTGGCAAGGCACCTCTGCTGGCCAGGGGATGGCTCTCCCAGACATGACGGAGCTCTCTCCTGTCAGTCTCCTAGATGGGTGACAGCTCGTCCTTAGAGGCACACTTACAGAAAATCTCTTGTGCTAACACTGAAGGGAAAAAAAAAAAACCACAAAAGGTCAAACTTCAAAATCACCAACAGAACTATTTCCTACAGCAAAATCCCAAGGAGATCTCACTTGGGGATGCTTTAGAGGAACTGTTTTAGTGAATTTTGAACCAGCACAGAGGTTTCCTTCCATGGTATTTACTCTTCTCTTTCCCTTATCAAAATGTACTAATCTTTCAATCTAGCAACTTAGTAATAATGGAAAAAAAAAAGCACACATAACTTCCCAGCAGTCAGTCAGCAGCCAGGCGGCCAGAAAGTAGCTCAGGAAGCATCTGGGAGCCAGAGGGGCCCCCAGAGCCGAGGCTGGGGCCCGGGGGGGGGGGGGGGTCGTTCCTGAGGCCCTGCGGGGCTGCCTGAGACTTGAGAGGCGGATGGCAGGGCACCTGCAGGGGTCACCAGGCACCGCTGCCCCGCTCCATTTTGTCCGTGTCCCAGAACAGGGAGCCTAAACGTTATCTAGTCCAAGCACACGGTATCGATTCAGGCCAGCCAGTACCCAACAGGATCCGCTTCGCCATTAACCCTTTAAAGCCCGCACTGGCAGACAAGACCAGCCACCAGGAGAAGGAATGCCGATTTCCAGAAAAAGGCGGATAATAACATCTGACAATTTTCGCTAGATGTTTTAAAAGCAGTCTTTCCCCCGGGGGTGGGGGTGGTCTCGTAAACCAAGGGTAGCTAGAGAAGGCTCGGGGCGCTCCGACCTCTCCCGATTTCTCAAAATCAGGACGCGCACTCGATCCTCCCTCCGCTCGCTCCCCCCAGCTCCGATGGGGCGACGGTGGGGGCGGCTCGGGCGGCCTTTCCTCCCCAGCGCGGGAGCGCAGTGCATCCCAGTGGACAAACTCGAGAACCGCACCGCTTTCTCCGCCTCCGCCTCTGTCGTCCCCTGCTTTGGGCTGCAACCCGGGACCCAAAACGCGCACCAGCTCCGAGAAGCCCCCCGGCAGGCCGGAGGGCGACGGTGCGGAGGCAGCCGCCCGGCCAAGGGGACGCCAGTGCCCTCCCGGGCCCCAGGCCGCCCGCCCGCCGCCCGGCCCCAAAGCCCGACTTCCACAGCAAGCGGGCAAAGTTTGCGGAGAAGGGTCTTCACGCGTACCCCTGCCGCGAGTCCCGGGCGCGACCTCCGGGGTCCAGGGGCCCTGGAGCCCCGACCCCGACGAGCCCCGGGGCGTTCCCGCCGGCGTCTGCGCGTGTGGGTGGGTGGGGGTGCCCGCCCGCCCGCCCGCCCGCGCTCCCCGGAGCCCCAGCGTCGCTCGCCCCAGCTGCCCGCCAGCTGTGCGCGCCCGTCGGGCCCGGAGGTCACCGGCAAACAGCTGGATCGGCAGCTGGGCGCCCAGGCGGCCCCTGCTCAGCCCCGGGGCCCCGGGGAAGGGGAAGAGAGGGCGGAGTGGCTGTTGGGTTCTGGTTTCCTCCAACTCCTCCTGCCAGGCTCTCTCGCCGGGAGCCGGGAGCCGGGAGCCAGAAGCCGGGAGAGCTCTAGCTTTCTCCGGCAGCCCTGGCCCCCGCCCCGGGTCCACGGCTCGGCGGGCCCCGGGGAGGAGGCGCGCCGGGGCGGCAGGCCAGGACACTGCGCTGCTGGCGCCTGGAGCCACGGGCTCGCCCCGGCCAGCCCGGCTGCGCGGGGAGCTGGGGCGGGCGCCCCCGGCCGGACCCGGACGCACGCAGCCGGGAGAGCCGGCCGCTCCCTGCGGGGTCGCGGAGCTCTGAGCTCAGGGCTGGCACCGCGGCCGCGCTCCCGGGACCCCCTCCGGCAGCCGGCGGGAGCGGAGCGGGGAGCGGGGAGCGGGGGGGGGTCCCCTTGCTTGCAACGCCGACAAGAGCGCTGCTCCAGCCCAGCCCGGCACCCACGCACCCACGCACCCACACGCACCCCGGCGCTGGCCGGGTGGCTCACCTGAGTCCTAAAAGCTGTTGAATCCACATGGTCACGTTTCGGGGAGCGGAGCCTCAGACCTCGCTCGCCCCGGCCATCTGCGCGGCGCCCGCGCCCGCTCGCTTCCGTCCCGCGGCGCCGGTCCCCGGCTCTCCGTCCGCCGCCGCCCGCCGCCCGCCGCCCGCCGCCCGCCGCCGCCGGCCGCGGGGCGCAGAGCGAGTCAGAGCGCGGCCGCGCGGGGCTCCATGCCGGCCGGCGCGCCGCCGCCGTTGGGGCGCATGGCTCAGGCGGGGCGGCCCGCGGGGGCGCACATCCTCCAGCCGGGGCGCGGGGCTCGCCGCCCCTCCGCGGGCGAGAGGGCGAGCGGGCGAGGGCGGCAGCGAGGCGGGGGCGCCCACGGCCGGCCCGGAGGGGCGCGCTCCGGCGCTGCGGCCGCGCGGGGAGAGTCGGCGGAGACGCGGCGTCGGCCTCCGGGGCGGCGGGGAGGGAGGCCGGGCGGCGCCGCCGCGCACCGTGCGCGTCTCGCAGCGCGGCTCCCGCCTGCGGTCCGAGCCCCGCGCCGAGGGGGCGGCGCGGCCCGGGGGTGCGGGCGGCGGCGACGCGGCGGGACGCGGGGGCCCGCGCGGGCCAGGTCAGGGGGCTCCGGGGGGGTGCGCGGCCGGCCGGCGCCGCTCGAGTTGGCCGCGGGCTCCGTCTGAGCGCTCGCTCCGCAGACGGCCGCGGCGCCGGGGCCGGCAGGAGGCGGGCGCGGGGGGCGCGGGGGGCGCGGGGGGCGCGCGGGGGGCGCGCGGGGCGAGGGCGCCGTGCAGCGCGGGGCGTGGGGACGCGCGGCGGCGGCGCGGCGCCGAGGAGGCGCGCGGGGATCCCGGGGCCCCGCCGCCCGCGCCCACCGCGCCCGCCGCAGAGCCGCCCGCCCGCTCGGCCGCCTCCCTCCGCGCGTCTGCCTCTCGGCGCGCTCGCCCCCGCCTCCCCGAGCGGGTCCCAACTCCGCCCGCCCGGCCCGGCTCACGTCACCCGCCTTCCCCGCCCCTCGAACTGGAGCCCGAGCCCCCTGCCCGGCGCCGGCTGCCGCTCGCCGCCGCGCCCCGCCGCCCCCGCGCCCCGCCCCGCCCCCGCGCCCGCCGCGCCCCGCCCGCCGCGCTGTGCTCGGCCCCGCCACACCTCGGGCGGGGGCCCGGCCGCCCCTTCCCCGTCCCCGGCCTCGTCCTAGTCCCCACCTCGGGAGCGGCTCGAGACAGGCCGCGGGCTCGGATTGGACCGCCGGGCGCCGCCGGATGGTGTTGCCACGGTAACCGGATGGCCTGCGAAGCAGTTCGGGGTTCCGACCCATTTACGGGCGCGCCCGGTGGACCCGGAGAGCTAATGTGGGGACGGGGCGTTCCCGAGGGGGCGCTGCCAGGGGGCGTCTGGAGCCAGAGGCTTCGCGGAAAGTTTCCTCCGTGCGCAGCTGAAGCGCGAGGGTCCGCGGCCCGCGTTCCTCTCTTCCCGCCTCCCGGCCCCCGCCTTGGGCCCCTGCGCTCCAGCTCGGAGCTCAGCACCTTCTATCGCATCCCAGCCCCGACCCGAACGTCCACGCTCCGGCAGCCCCCCCTCCCCCGCCGGGCCGGATCCCGCAGCCCCCCCGGGGCGGGGGTGGGGGAGCAGCAGGCAGCAGCTGCTGCTGGCCAGGCCCTTGCTCCGGGAGGAGCCGCTGAGTTCAGGGTCCTCGGCCTCCCACGTTCTCTGCCGCAGCGGGTATCGTGGCCCCCCTACCCCATCCCAGAACTTGTCCCTGCCTTCCTGGTGAGGCTCTATTTGCAGGACAGCGGCCCCAGGACGAAGGGCCTCCTTGCGGGCCTCTCACTGAGAGGAGTGACCTACGGTGAACTGCTCCTCCGGAGGCCGGCCCTGCTCTGCCACCTGGGAAACGGCCCACAAAGCCCAGCTGTCCCCTTGGGGCCCCCGAGGCAGGTGCAGAATCACAGGCCTCAGAGGCCGCCTAGCACGGCTCTTCTGCAGCAGGCCTGCAGCCGGGGTCCGGGAGTGGAAGGAAGGTCATTAACTCACTCCAGACCTGAGCCATCCAGCGGCCTCCCTTAGCCCAGCTCTGGAATCACCTGCTCTTGTGAGGTCAGCAGAGACCCCACTTGGCTGGTCAAGCCTCGCTGAGAAGGGGCAGTTGGTGGCGGGGCAGGTCCAGGCCCTGCATGGCCAGGACTTGGACTCCCAGGCAGGGCCTTCATCCCTGGGCATCAGGTCCTGGAGAGCCATAGGACTCTGCTCCGCCCAGACAGAAGATGCAGGTGACCTGCATCCCCACCACGATCCCCAACGACAAAGGCAGGAGGCAAGGAAGCATGGTGGCAAGAACCAAGTTTTGCCAGGAGCAGACCAGCCAGTGCTGTTTACCATTGAGGGGTCCTGGGTGCCTGGTTGAGTTTCTCTGATCCTGTTTCCTTCTCTGTAAAATGGATTTCATGTTCGGTTCCACACAGACTTTTGTGGGGAGTCAATGAGGTGGCCTCGCACACAGCGTCACTCTTAGGGTTCAAAGAAGCACCAGGCTGCATCAGCACTTTGCCTGCCTGGCCGTTCCTGGGTGGTCTTCCCCCGGACCCCTCTGCCTGAGGAGTTTGGGGGAACAGATCCCATTAAAGGCTGGGCTCAGGATAGCCAGGGGAGAAGGGGGTGCCCACAGTGCTGCCACCTAGCGGGACGAAGTGGGGGGTGCTGCGGGAGGGAGGCCCTTGCAGGAGCCCGCACAGCCACGAGTGAGGCCCCCATGGGTGAGGGCAAGTCCTGGCCCTTCTGTTCCAGGGACCCCGTCAGTGGCTGTGTGCAAACCCACAGACCTCGTCTCAGAATGTTTACAAATGCATGCCCTGAAATGCACCAGGAAGAATCATTAGGAAGTCAATTATATTGCAATGCGTTATCAAATTTTTAAAACAAATTTTTGAAACAGCAATGTGTGTTCTTTAATATTAGGCCCAGTAATGAATGAGTGGATCAAAACATACCACGATGTAGGAGATACGTGGCAATGGTAGTTTGGGACATCCGAAATGTCCATGATGTGAGTGGAGAGGGGATGCCCGCGGGTTCCCGGTTTGAGAGCAGGTCACAGGAGCCTGCTGCCTTCACTTGTAATGGAAGGAAATGCTGGATTTCCTTTGGAATTTGTGAGAATAAACATATCAATTTTTCCCACCCATATAAAAAGGCCCATTGGGTTCTACCCACATACCTTGGGGTTCCCTGGACCTCGGGCATGAACCCCTGGATAGACAGGAATGTGTGTCCTGAAAACAACAGAGCGAGGGGGCATAAGTAGCGGGGGACGTCAGGGTCTAAAGTACACAGTAGTTGTTCACCTTGTTCGCCAGGTGAGTGCAGGTCTCTTAAATCTCTGGGCCAGCAGGCTGCCCTTCCCACACCTGGACAGTAGCATATCAGTAAGAACTGGGCATACAAGTTCCCCTCTTCCTCTAGGCACCGATATCTACAGCATAAGTCCCTCCAATAAAGCACCCACCTGGTATCCTGTTGGTTTTTATATTTTTCTCTTGATGAAAAACATTATCATTTTTTACATGCTGTAAAACAATAAAACCAGGACCTGTATTTCACCATTACTGTAACTGACTTCCTGTACTTTGAGGACATCTCATATTTCTGACCTTTTCATTTTCCTCCTCTCTTGGGAACTGGGAGGGTGGGTGCATGGCATCCCACACCCCACACACAGACTGTCACTCCCGCACACACAGGCCTCCCAGCTTCAGCAGGTGCAGAAGGGTGGTTTCTAGAGGCACCCGCTGTGGAAAGCTCTCCCAGCGCCCTCCCACCTCTGCTTGCTGCCCCCTACTCAGGGGCTAGCTGCGCCCTGAAACCCTAGAATCAGCGGGCATCGCATGGGTCCCTCTGAGCCCCCTCGCCTCTGCCCTGCCCTATTTTCCCAACAAAGGAGTCCGCCGACCCCCTGCAGGTGGTCCTCTTTGAAACTCTCTTAGGCCATTTACCTAATGGCCTTCCCAGAGTCGACTATTTTTAAAACCCATCCAAAGCCAAATTGAGCTGCCATTGTTCATTTTTCTCCCAAGGAGGTAAATGTGTCTTAAGCATGACATTTGATTAAGTAGCTAAGTTTGTGATTTTAAATGGAAAGAAAAATGCTGATTAAAATTGTAAGTTTCTTTAAAGCATTCACACTACTGTCTTCTCTGCCCCCTGCCTTAGTGGCTCCCCCACACAAGAAAACTTGCCCCTGGTGGGGTGGGGGCAGGGATGAACTCCAATCACTCTGCCTTGGGCTGGGGTTAAGTGCCCAGATTTTGGAATTCCTCCCTGGTCTTCTGAGCTGCTTCCTAGGTGAGGCTGGCACAGAGTTGCCCACTCCAGCTGAGCACAAGAGTAAGGCTTCCTTGTCAAGGGCCAGAAAAGAGACTCCCCCAGACAAAATGACTCCCAGGATGGTTAGCCCAGCCCAGGGCCAGCAACAGAAAATGCCAGGTCCCTACTGTCCATTCAAACACACTTGTGTATCAGAAAGAGGCAAAGTTGCTCCCGCCACTTGTTCTGAGCAAGTGATGGACTCTGAAGGCAGGTGGAAAAAAGGACTGCCTAAAAATTTGAGCTGGCCTGGGATGGAGGGAAAAAAAGCCCATTTTAAGGCTTTTAGGGATTCACTGTGATGACAGTTTTGCTTCTTCTTTTGGGATGGGCAAGGATGATGAGAAAGAGGATGAATTTGCATTGCAAAGTAAAGTGGCAATTTGAACACCTTCCCTTGGCAGTGTGGACAGTCTGGAGGTTTGAAGCCTGGAGCTGGAGAAATGAGAATGTCCAGAGGTGGGCGGAGGCATGCAGGGAAGCCAGGCAGGGGCTGGGGTGTCCCCAGGGGAGAGGCCACAGGGCCCACCTGAATCCTTACATTTTCTCGTCACTGTGGCTGAAACCAAAGTCTGAGGGTTTTGTCCTGTGTCATGGTTCTGCTCCAAGGCAGTTGTGCTTGTGTTAAAAGCACGTTGGTGAGTGATGATGGACTCTGCAGTGGGGCCGGTCAGGGCCAGGGAGAGAACAGTGGCCAGCAAGGCCAGAGGATGTGAGGAAAAACCCCCTTCCTCTCCCATACTTCGGAAAGCGCTGGGCCTTGGGA